TCTGGTGGAGTTAATTACAAGCTTTATGGTTTGCTTCACTTTATTAATTTAACTTTAGGAAGTTGGATGACTTTAAACACACCAGACTTACTCCATTGGCCATGACTAAGGCCAAATTGCATGCAGCGGCAGAGATTTCCCCAGTCGATAAATTGCAACATATGCAATTTATCTAATTAGCTGCTTTGAAGTTGACTTAAATTTGTCTTCCTTCCTCCACTGAGTCAGGACATGCCGCAGTGGTCCCAGCTTGACTCTTCTCCTGCTCTGTTCTCAGCAGCCATCTTTGCAGCTGGTTGCCCATTCGAAACATTCGGCACAGATGGTGATTTGAGATCACAGTACGGCATTCCCACTGTTTTTACATATATTATGACAGAGCTATTTAAGGAGAAATGAAAAAACAATATCTCGAAGTTTGATGAGGTGAGCGCTGCCTTCAAGTCGTTCTCACAGTCAAGCACGACTCAACGGATTCGTACAGCATCTCCAGATTTTTGTTTGTTCCACACTTTTGTGAAAAGCTTAAAAAGACAAGTTGAAATCCCGCCCACTTTTTCACCTCCACACACCTGGACGTTCACTGAGAGTGCGCTTCACAGATTGTTGGTTTCAGAAAGTTACTTTTTATCTGACGCGATTCTGATGCGGAAAAAAAGTGTAGGTGTGGAAGCCTTCAGATGCCGTTCGATGATCCGACAAAGCCCTTTGTTTGAAGCGTACTGACTCCTTTATGTTCTGTTGTTGCTCCGGGCAAACCTTGGGCTGTACCGACGGCAATCAATAGGTCAATGCTGTGACAGGGCGAAGGATAAATGCCAGGGGTCAACCATCAAAAACAATCACGGCTGACTGAGTCGACTGCACTTTCACCATGGAAGCGGAGATGCTAATGATTTTTCATAAGTTTGGACTTAACTTAGAGAAATCGCATTTGTTTAACTCCCACTGTTTCAATACTTTGTTTTGATTCATATTCAAGTAAAATCTCACGCCCCCATCTAAGCATACAAAGTGACTACATCACTGACTCTCAGTGAAGTACTCGGCTATATTTCATCCACATAACAGGCTTGGTGTCAACGCATGTTGCATATATGACCACGAAATGGAATTGTACTTTATGAAGTGAGTCCATGTGTGACTTCCTTCTTCCTGTGACCTTAGCGGCCTGATGCCCTCGTACGCGACACCTTGAACAAGATCTACAAAGAGAATCAAAGATGACTACCATTTAAATCCCCGCTGTCCCTCCTATTCGCTGACGCGACGCCACTCTTGCGCTCAGTCAGGGGCTGATTCCAGTGGCTGCTCTTCGTGGCTAATGAAGATAGCAGGGGGGCCAGTGTGTTTGTTTGTGTTGCGGCTGAACCACACTGTGCTTAACATGACTTTGGGTTCAACGTCTTTGTGGCTGCTCAGTGGTAGACATGACTACTGGTCTGAATGACAGATTAAAGCTGCTAACTGAGCAGGGAGCTGGAGGTAGGGGGTATATGGTGTGTGTGTATGCCTGCATGTCCGCTGACAAAAAAAACAAACATGTTGCCTGACAATAGAAAGGGAGACGCTGTGAGTCAGTTACATGCTAATGTTGCATGTGTATATTAGACACCCTCATGTTTAGGAATATGCCATCCAACATGTGTCATTTAGAACTGCTTAGACACTAAATCAACTAACAGATTAAAAAAAATTGTTTCAGTTACACCCAGTAGGGCTCTAACATACTGGGCAAATATCTAATGTTTGATTTACCAACGCAATTAGATTACAGAGAATGAAATTACAGCGTATAAAAGGAACTAAATTAAGCTTAAGCAGATTGGATTGCAGTCAACTAGCTCTTGAACATGTTGTTCTGTTCTCACTGCAGCCTGTAGTCAGCTTCGTGACACATTATGCCAGATGCATGGGGAACTTGCACATGGCAAGTTGCCTACGACGGGAGGAATCTGCACACGGCCGTACATCGATTGTCTGATCACAGAAGTGCAGAAATCCCCGTATCACATCTTCAAATATAGCCTTAAAGCGATTGTGTTTCTAAAGAGGAAAGAGCATGGGGTGCAAATGAAATTAAACAATTAAATAGATCAATGCACAAACAGCCCAAAGGACGTGTAATAAATGCAACTAATCATTTGCTGCTGTTGATCTCTTGCAGGTGGTGTGTTGGACTGCAGTAAACAAAAACTTCCAAACAGGCCTGTGCACAGCGTAGCTGATGACGGCCATCATTCAAGTCACAAACCACCTATTTGCCTGCAATAACTCACAAATCTAATTTTTGTTTGTGGTGTTTTTATCTGCCCTTCATGTGAGAGACCGTTCACAGTCACATCATTACCGTCGCTGAAGATTTAATCTAGAATTTTGAAATTGCAGTCATGTAGCAATGCAATAATTTCGGATGAGATATAAATGTTCGCTCATTTAATCATTTGGAACCAATGGTTCATAGAGTTTTCCTGCTGAAACTTTCCTCTAAATTACTTTCTAGATGACTGGTGTTATTGGTCTTTTATCATGAAAAGTAACCTGATCTGTCTCTAAATCATCCTGGGTCACTATTTCCATTTCCCATCTTTTTGTCATCCTTTCTAATTTATTCTTATTGGGACTTTGAAAGAGCAGGAAACCGAGAATTAAGGAGACGGAACAGACGTCTCTTACTTCTAGTCAGAATCATGCAGGGAGGTTCAAATAGAAATCCCAAATGTGTGCAACGGTCAACATTTCTTTCTTTTTAAAATGCATTTTAATAAGCAGGCAACAATATCCGTAATGCATTATGTTAAAAACACGTCTCCTGCGGTTGTCAGTAAATTGGTTTTATTTCTATAAGGACTGAATGTTTAATGATAGGTTAGGAAACCGTTCTGCATTAATTCTCTTAAGTCATTATCCACAAGTTAACCTTAACCTGCCTTTATCAAACAGCTTCCTCAGAAGGGAAAAAGCAATTGTTTGAAGGGGAAGTAATTTACCTGATGGCAAAAAACATTTTCTGCTAAAAATTAATCTGTGCTGCTTCATGCCTCAGTCTAATTTGTTACCGACACATAAATAATTAACTCTGAACCAAAAGTGAAAATATTATTTCACACATAATTACATTTCTTTCAGTTCATCAGTGGCATGTTTTGCATATCGAATTTGCCATACTTTGCTGCAATTTCGATCAAAGTTACTTACATGACCACTTTCTCCATCGGTGTTTTAGTACCATTAGGCACAGGAGGAAGCTGGTTTAAAAACCTTTATGGATAACAGAAACAGAGAGGCTCCAGCGGTGGTTATCGCCAGTGGAAAGGACTTGAGCTCGTGTAAATACAGTGCATTAACAGAAAAAAAGCAGCTAATCATGCTGCCATTTGGGGTTTTCTTTGAAGACGTTACCTGCCTTATCTCATGGCGGAGCAAACAAAGCTGCCACATCACAACAGACTGCAGGGTTCCTTCCAGACAACGACGTTGCCAGAGTCATTTTGATTGCCTCAAATGATATCCCCGCTGAGGTGATCAACCGCATATAGCCTGATTGGATATTTCACAGGGTGCTGCTGCTAATTTACAAGGTGGAGTGTTGCCACTGTTTGAGGGGAGAACACTGGTATAAATATCCATGTTAATACTGTGAGTCAGTGTTTCTGACTCTGCCTTGGTCTGCAGCGTTCCAACGGGCCCTCGGGCTGTTTTTGTATTCTGCTTTTAACGCTGCCAGTTGTCCTCTTTTCTCCAAAACATTAACTTTGCAGAAAAATAAATGGTTGATTATCCCGTTCACACAGACGTGTTTGCATCACTTTAAATTAATCAACACCATCAAAACAGCATTAATTAAACATTAGAAAAAGAAAAGACTTTGCTAGACACCAGCAGCAGCAGCAGTGGGATGCTGAATGCATTGTAGAGACAAGAGAGCAAATAGTGGCTAGTTTTAAAAGAGTAAATTTAGAATAACTATCAATATTGAGGATCTGGAATGTGATTGTGTTGCAGAGAATTATGGTATTAGGTGGGGGGGATGCATATTTAGCTGTCTAGATGTGCTGCTATTTCATTATTTAGCACCTAACCGTCACCTAACCTCTCCCCCTGTGTGTCTACTGTGAGTATAGAGCAAACGTCACCCCTGCCATCAATTATTACATCACGCTTAATGTTAGATATCTTATTTGGCATCTCTAGAAATTGGCAGAAGTGTAATGAGGACTAAGAAGGACTACCACATGAGGGGAAAAATTAATGCTCTCTTCAATCAAGTTAAATTTGCTGCCTAATTCAGTTTACATTCACATTCAATTTGCTTTTGGCAGAGAATGTCTCTTTGGTTAATCATTTCGATAATTTGACGGTAACTTTAATTACACAAACAATTGGGATTAATAATAACGCGACAGGATGCTTTTACGCGCTGACGGAGAGTGTGATTGTGGGTGAAGTGACTGCGATGTTCTCGTGGGCTTCTGAAGGTATTCGAGTCCTGTTTGACCTTTCTCTTTCTTCGTATGTGTCCAGAGCATTATATACTGTGAAACTAAAAGATCAATGCTTTGGCAGAATGTGCAAAAGCCTAGCCATTAAAACAATTCCAGTGCAGCTATCAGGAGCGTACTGCTGTAGTGGCTTGTGAGCAAATGTAGTTCAGGAGAAGTGACACTGGGAACACGATTCAACATGTTGTCAGTGTCACATCTCCATCACGGTGACGGCTCGGCTAATACGTCTATTACTCATGTTTCCTGACTTTGAGTAATCGGCCATGAAGTCTAGCCTTTGAGTTTTCTTCTTCTCCGCTTGCACCTGAAACTAAAACCATCATCAATCTCTGTTCAGTTTTATTTTCCCACAGTTTGTCCTCATCCTGATCCCTCTATTCCCCTTTCTTCTATCTATTGCATATCTTCATTTCCTCTCACAACACGCTACCGTAGGCCCTACACCTCTCTCTGTACCCTCGTTCCTCCTTTCAAGCACCCATCCATCCCCCCTACCTCCTTGGAGGGGACCCTGGATCCCTTCCTTCGTGACCACCAGCTTTCCACCATGGCGATGAGGCAGGAGAGGACCACACCGGCTGCCAGGACGCAGAAAACGCCGGCGAAGCTGTGGATATCGAGGGCATTGCCGCGTTGTCGTGTCTGGACTGAGCTGTAGAGGTCACAGGGGCTGTCCTTGGGCCACCACTTGAGTTTTAGTATATCCATGTCACCGTTTTGCTGGAGCTCCAAGATTCTGGGATAGAGGAGAGAGACACCAGCGTGTAAGCAGAGAGACATGTACAGTAAACATCCATGTTATAAACGCACACTGACACAAGCTACAAAATGTTAGTTAACGGATCAGTCGGGTAAAATACAACACCTGAGTTTTGAAATCTGTCAACCTACAAAACTCTGTTCCAGCAACTTCAGATTTTCTGCCAAATGAAAAACACCAACACATACAGAAATAAGTGTGAAAAGGCAGAAATCCATGAATGATTGAGCACAAAGTCAGCAGCAACAATCAGGAAGTCAGAGTAATTAACTCATTGATGGTGTCTGAGCACCATTTTAATAATCACATAGTCAAAATGATGATAAACAATCACGGATGAAGAAAACATTTGCACAAGTCGGTTGCACGAAACCCGACGACGCCGCAGCTCATGCTGTAGCTGCTGTAACTCCTCTCGTCCATTTGAGGGCAGTGTTTGCCAGTTGAAATCCTCCCTGATCTCTGACAACCATATTGGGCTGTCAAACTCATTATGGCTAACATTAATATGTTTTGCAGCACAGCACGAGTACACTGCCACAATGTCATTATGCAGCCTAGCTTTAGTCCCACGATTGATGGCTTCAGAGAGGATACAGCTCAGAGGTTGATGGGGTCCCTCTGTTAGCCTTCAGCTTATTATTTAACTGGGTCGTTCGTTTTGGTTTGGAGGAGAACTGCAGACGCACACAGACAGACAGACAGACAGACAGACAGGCATACAGATATTTAACAGGCGATTTGCCGTGGAGTAGAGAGAGAAAAGAAAGAGAGACAACGGCGGAGGCAAAATAGGAGGCAATCCAGGAATACGCATGTACCTCCCTCTCAGAAACACATACGTACAGAGGAGACGAAAATAATCCCCCGCTGATAAATTAAGCCACCACCCGTACTGGCAACAACAAGGCAGATACTCATTCAGACGTGCACAAAGTTGCAAACTTGACTGAATGCACATGCAGGCAAACGTAACCAGGATTCATACATGTGCACACAGAGACAGATGTTTGCAATTATCTGCAGAACTTTCTCGGGGCAAACGCCTCTTGCAATTTCAATGACAGCATGAATGACAGCGCCCATCTTTCATCTTCATTTTTCCTCATGTTGAACACACAGAACTGACTGAAATCAATCAAGAAATGCAAATGAACCTTGCAGATAGTTTACATAATTAATTTCATCCACAATAACGAGAAAACATGGATCATTTCGATGTAAATCAGCCAAAGTGGCTGAGTGCACACTGCTATAAACATGTCGCTCTCATTTAGGGGCATTCTATCATCACTTTGTGAGCAGGTAGGACTGAGGGGAGTACATGGCTGAGTAATGGGAGAAGGAGGAAGAAGAAGAGAAGAGAAGAGAAGAGAAGAGAAGAGAAGAGAAGAGAAGAGAAGAGAAGAGAAGAGAAGAGAAAAAAGACCAGAGGATAGAAAGGCAATAAGAGAACAAAAAACTAATTAGAACAGCAAATCCACCAAGAGTCATTCTAATGAGAGATCATGTCCACCAACTGCTTCCGACTGTAGAATTGTTTGGCTCAGATCAGTGCAGATTAGCACGACGATTAGACAAGACTTTCATATTGATGCGGCGCAATATGGAATCAAAACAAATGAAACTGAACTGATCTGTGCTGATAGCGGCAGCAGCGTACTGGCACATCAACTCTGCATTTCTTCTTCTTTAGTGCAGTGAGTTCTGCTCCTTCTTCTTTCAAACATGTTGTTTAGTTACTTTTATACTGTATAACAGAGAGCTTTTGCCTCTGAAACTGCTTCATGCTTGACCACCTCTAGATTGCTGATTGCTGAAGGAACAAAAACACCTGACTGTTGCACGCCGGGCACGCCGTTGAATCGCAAGTTGGCACGCCGAAGATCGGGCTGTTCAACGAGCACCTGTGGCAGTTGATTTGATAAAGAACATCCAGGTAAAAATTGTCACATCCAAGAAAGAAATGCAGCTGATGTCGTACATCCAATGCATCGAGCTAAAGCTAAGTTTCAGCCCCTGTCCCAGGTGAGGGTTTGAAAACTAAAAAATCAAACAAATTAGTTGATAAAGTAGTCAGTGTAATGGAAAAATACTGCATCTGCATGAAGAATGTCAAAGCAAGTTTCTCTAAGTTTCATTAAAGCTGAGTGGAAAGGTTACAGGCCAGAAATGTGTTCCCATAACATCTAGGTAAACACTAGTGGCTGTACATGGGAAGAAGAAGTTGTGCATCCCATGTGTTTAGACTATTGATGCCTGATCCTACTTGTTTAGTCTTCTAAATGTCTGTGGATGAGTGCACCCTGTACACCCAGCTGTTGTTTTCCAGCATTGTTCTACTACCGTTGGAGTAAAGACCACGCCTGTACATGTATAAGAATACTATGCTGCCTGCACTCATGTGTACTCTCCTGCAGACTGCTTGCATTCTGTATGACCTGTACCTTCAACGCTTTGAATAAAACGAGACAAAGACAACTCGGACTACTGGACTTTATGTAGATCACAGAAAATTTCCTCAACAGTCAGAATCAGGAAAAACACAACAGAACATATAAAACAGTCTGTGTGGATGTCTACAGTACCATCTCCCTCCTGGTTCCTTTAATTCTGCTGTGTTTGTGATACTACAAACTCTATCAGATCTTCAACGAAAACTGAACAAAATTCAACAGCTGTGGCTAAATAATCGAAAGGTCAGCGATTCGATTCTCAGTCTCGCCGCATGGCAGCTCTGCCAGCGCTGGCGTATGAAATGGTGAATGTGAAAACTTTGTAAAGTGCAACAAAAAGTGCTGTGAAGACCAATTACCGTAAACCAAAGACAACCTCTGTAAAAACAAAATACAAGTTTCTAAATTGTTACTGTACTTCTATGATGGTAAAAAACAACCAATCAGCCTCCTGAGCTAAATAAAGTTAGGCCACCTTCAGCAGCTACAACTGCAACCGAACGCACACGATGAGTGCAGATCAGTGTTTGACATGGTAGAAGCTGAATTCTGACCCGCTCTCCTTTGCAGAGCTGCCTTAGTGCAGTCACAGTGGGAGGTTTGCGAGCTGCTCTTTTCACATCCTGCCACGGCATCTGATTCGGGGTCAGGTCCAGACTTTGATTAAACGAGCCATTCAGAGATCGACTTCCTCTTACGCTTGAGGTCAATGTGTAGCTGCATAATCCAGCTGCACTTGCGCTTCGGCTCGCGGAACGATGAACCCAAGATCTTTAGAATTTTCTAATAGAGAGCAGAATTCATGTTTTCCACAATTATGGCAGGTTGCCACAGCCCCGAAGCAGCGCAGCATCCCTACAACACTACGCTGCCACCTCCGTACTTGACCGACACAGAGATAATGATCTTTTTGGTGCAATTCTGTATTTGGTTAAGGCCAGATGTGAAAGAACCCGTGTTTTCCAAACAGATCAACTTTTGACTCATTACAGAACACAGAACAACCTCCCGAAAAAGTTTGCGGGTCGTCAAGGTGTGTTGTGCCAAAATCAGATGAGCCTGAATGCTGTTTTTGTTTTTCTCTTTGCCTCTCCATTCTCCCATGAATGCCATTTCAGCCCAGTGTCTTTCACATAGTGGAATCACAAACACTGACTTGTTCTGAGGTGAGAGAAGCCATCCATTTTTGCAGTTTCTTGGATCTTTTTTGTGACTTCCTGGATGAGTTGTTGGCATGTTCTTGGTGGGATTTTGGAAGGTCGGTCACTTCTGGGGAGGTTCACTACGGTTCCAAGTGTTCTCCATTTGTAAATAATGCCTCTCACTATTGAGTCCCTTGGAAGTGGCTTTGTAACTCTTCCCAGACTGATGTATTTCAATCACTTTCTCCATTATCTCCTCTGGAATCTTCTGATTTTGGCATATTGCGCTACTGGTGAGACATTTCTGCCAACCTCATGCTCCTCAAAAAGTTCTAAGTGTTGATTTGATTCAAACAGGACTGGTAGTAATCAGACCTGTGGTTGTCTAAACCAGTTGGAACCAGTTTTCAGTGTAGTTTGGTAGCTTTCTGGAGCTGGTAACTAAGGGCATGAAAAGTACTTTAATTTGTTTCTATACTTCTCCTATCTGCTCTGTGTAAACAGTTCAGCTAAAAAGTCTCTGAGTTTTTGTCACATGGTTGTTGGTTGCAGCTGAGTCACCAACAGCTTTACGGTTGCGCAGAGAAATGCAGAATTATTTGTTTAATACAGAATCTGCAGAATAAAGGGATTTTGCTTAAATATTACAACTTAAAACTTTGGATTTGCTCAAGTTTTCCAGTGGAACTACATGTCACAGGTAATTTGTTCAAACAGCGTCGAAAAGGTGAACATCTGAGGATTTGTTATTATCTTATTTTAGTATTTAAAAAAACCCCAAAACATATCTTTCAAATCCACTGGAGGGTTTTGGAGCTCAGAAGACTAAGATGCTGTTTCCCTTGCGAACACTTTTAAAATTCTGACGGTAAAGAATTCCATAATGGTGAACATTATGCATGTATATATTATGTTATTTATAGTAATTATTCAATAATTATTTATTTATCCTATTTAGATTTCTCATATATCCACAGTGTTCCTACCTCACCAGTGCAATATATTTATTCTACCATCTGGTAGAATAAACTGTATATACTTCCGACTGGCCTTTTGTAAATATATGCATATATTCTTATTTGTCTTTTTATACTTTTACTTTTATACTTTTGCCCTACTGGAGTTGTCTTTTAATTTTGTTGTACCTTGTGCATGATGACAATAAAAGCATTCTATTCTATTCTATTCTATTCTATTCTAATATTTGACTGAAAAAGAAAACTATTCACAAGTTGTTTTGCACTTTGGAACTACAGTTAAATCTCCGTCGCTCTCATCATGGCGACTTTATTGCTGTTTTTTGAAATAATGGACACATTATGTTGGACAAGCACATTAACGGACTTAAATATATTCTCTGATATATATATATTTTATG